CGAGGCGGCAGCGCAAACTGTTTCTAGCTGCGAAGCCACAGAGAGAGGACAATGGCGCCATCACACCACCGCTGAGCTGCACAGCACTGAAGCACGATGGGAATAAAGGAACGCAGAAGCCACAGCGAGTTCCATACAATAGTCACCTTCGCCTCTCCGCCTGGGGCATTGTGGGAGGGTGTCAGGAGATGGCGGTAAGGAGAAGTGTGGAAGGACGCGGGCTCCATCAAGAGATCCTCCCCTCCCTCCAGCAGGTCTAAGTCTGGGATGGCTAGAGAGACACTCTCACAGCTCAGAGCCTCCTTCGGGGACAAAATTAAGGAGACAAAAAGGGCATCAGCAGGTGGGGAAAAGGCAATTCCAAGCATCTGCCCCCAGAAGTTGGGGGGTGGACACTTCAGTGCTCTTGGGGAGGGGGAAACACAACTTAGTTCTCCAGGCAGTGGCCCAGAGAGTGGAAGTGAATTTTGTGGGACAGACTCCCTTCGCCGTTGGTCAGGCTTCGTGGGCCAGTGGTGCCTAGTGGACAGAGCACTGGACTAAGACTGGGGAGCCCTGGGTTCAAATCCTTACTCAACCATGAAGCTCACTGGGGGATGCCAAGCCCGTCAATCTCCCTCAGCCTAACCTACCTCACAGGGTTGTTGTGAAGACAACAGGCAAGGGGAACTGCATGCTCCTGAACTTCTGAAATCTAACAGGGCTATCAAAAGAGCCATTAAGAGCAGCAGAGTTGGGGCAGGCAGATCATGTCTGCAATATGGGGCATGGTACAACGCTCTCCCACATATGAGAGTTCGTGTAATGTAGCGGTTAGGACCAGGGAGAGCTGGGCACAACCCCCCAGAGGACCGACCTTGGGCCAGTCACTGTCTCGCAACCTAGACTACCTCACGGGGCAGTTGGGAGACTAGACTAGATGGACAGAGGGAGCAAGGTACACAACTTCCGGGGGAAGAATGGAACTGAAAAATGGTAATGAATAAAGAAAATGAATTTCAGTGGTGCTCGCCCAGGAAAGCTTCCCAGTTGATTGATTCATCAATGAATCGCATTTCCCATCCTGGGTTGGTTCTGCTGGGACTCCTCAAACAAAACCCTAAAAACTTATGCAGTGGTCAAAACTGTGATCCCTGGGGGAGAGGCGTCACACTGAAGTGTGACAAACACTTTTCGCTTACAGCTTCTGAAAACAGCAGCCAAAACAATTGGCCATGTCACTGATGTTGCCTGGTGGGACAGGACTGCTTGCCTCACCTCCATCCATCCATTGGTGAAGATTAGTTGAACACAACAGTGTTCTTACAAACGACACTGTGGGCAAATGTTATTGATATAAATCTATCATGACAACCAGGAACGGTGGTCAGGGTCGCAGGTGGAAATGATCTAGTTGATTTGTGCTCCAAACTTACCCCAGGCCCAGCCTCCAACTCCCCACACCCTCTAGAACAGTGGTTCTCAACCTGTGAGTCCCCAGATGTTGTTGGACTACAACGCCCATCATCCCTAGCTAGCAAGGCCAGAGCTCAGGGATGATGGGAGTTGTAGTCCAACAACATCTGGGGACCCACAGGTTGAGAACTGCTGCTCTAGAAGGAGCTTTTAGAAATCTTGCCCATTGTTCTATTTTTTGCTTTACCAGTGCAGGGTGCTTCAGCAGGCGGGGCGACCCTGGCTTAGAAGTGCCCTGGCCGCCATCGGGGACTCTGACTGGAGTGTTGACCCCCCTGGACATCTCCAGCTCGATCTCAGCATCCATCTCGGCGTCCTCCTTGGCCTCCTTGTTGCTTTCCTCCAAGTGCTTCATCAGGACAGCCACCACCACGTTGACCAGGACGAACTGGGCGATGAGGACGAAGGTGACGAAGTAAACAGGGGAGATGATGGGCAGGTAACTGAGGCAGTGCTTGTCGTCCCTGTGGCATTCCCGGAGCGTGTCCTGGGGAAAGGCAAAGACATAAGGAAATCCTGTAAGGGCAGTTTTGCTGCATCAAACCAAGGCGGGCCCCTCATATGGAAGTGAAAGCTGGACCATAAAGAAGGCTGATCGCCGAAGAACTGATGCTTTTGAATTATGGTGCTGGAGGAGACTCTTGAGAGTCTCTTGGACTGCAAGAAGATCAAACCTATCCATTCTGAAGGAAATCAGCCCTGAGTGCTCACTGGAAGGACAAATCCTGACGCTGAGACTCCAACACTTTGGCCACCTCATGAGAAGAGAAGACTCCCTGGAAAAGACCCTGATGTTGGGAAAGATGGAGGGCACAAGGAGAAGAGGACGACAGAGGATGAGATGGTTGGATAGTGTTCTCGAAGCTACCAGCATGAGTTTGACCAAACTGTGGGAGGCAGTGGAAGACAGGAGTGCCTGGTGTGCTCTGGTCCATGGGGTCACGAAGAGTCAGACACGACTAAACGACTAAACAACAACAGCAACAAGTGCTGGCTGGGGGTGATAGAAGTTGTAGTCCAGAACATCTGGAAGACTCCTGGTTGGTGAAGGCTGATAATGCCAGTGTACTGTAAGAAGCGAGGATCACCAGTATTGAAGCAATGATTCTTCAACATCAACTTCATTGGACTGGTCATGTTGTGCAATGCCTGATTATTGTCTTCCAAACCAACTACTCTATTCCCAACTTAAAAATGGAAAGCGTAATGGCGGTGGTCAACAAAAGAGGTTTAAAGACTCTCTTAAGGCAAATCTGAAAAAAAGTAGTATACAGTGGTACCTCGGGTTACATACTCTTCAGGTTACAGACTCTGCTAACCCAGAAATAGTGCTTCAGGTTAAGAACTTTGCTTCAGGATGAGAACAGAAATCGTGCTCCGGCAGCGCAGCAGCAGCAGGAGGCCCCATTAGCTAAAGTGGTGCTTCAGGTTAAGAACAGTTTCAGGTTAAGAACGGACCTCCAGAATGAATTAAGTACTTAACCCGAGGTACCACTGTAAACACCGACAACTGGGAAACACTGGCCTGTGAGCGCTCCAATTGGAGAACAGCCTTTACCAAAGGTGTCATGGGCTTTGAAGACGCTCGAATTCAGGATGAAAGGGAGAAATGCGCTAAGAAAAAGGCACGCTTGGCAAACCCTCACCATGATCAACTCCTGCCCGGAAACCTATGTCCCCATGGTGGAAGGACATGTGGATCCAGAATCGGCCTCCACAGTCACTTACAGACCCACTTTTAAAACCGTGTTTGTGGAAGACAATCTTACTCGGCTACGAGTGATCGCCAAAGAAGAAGTTCAATGCAACCAGCACTCTGAATCAGGACTGAAAACTACCTGGGAGCCAATGAAACTAAATTAGGAACAATACATTCACTTCTTTCTCACCTTAGACAGAATGCCCTTCCTGTTGAAATATGAGCCATCCCATCAGTATTGGCATACCGCCGGCTCTTGAAGAGACTCCGGTTTCTGCAAGCATGGCTTCCTGATCTAATTATATTAATTTCTATTTTAGCTTCTTTAATTGCTATGCTTTTTGACCGGCTTGCTTTAACAGGCTACTAGCCATGATTGCTATGGTCTGCCTCCACAGCTGAAGGAAGTTGTGCTTCTGAATACCAGTTGATGGAAACTGCAGAAGGGGGAAACTGTGGTCAGATCCTGCTTGGCCACAGTGAGAATAGTTTACTAAACTAGATGGGCCTGATCCGGTAGGCTCTTCTTATGTTCTTGCAATTATTGTAAATTTTAATTATGGATGTGTTTAATGTTTTGGTGGAATTGTTATATTGGGCACAGATTCTAAAACTGGCTTTGTACTTGTAAGCCGCTCAGAAGCCATTTTGGTACGTAAGCAGTACAGTCGTACCTTGGTTTTCAAACAGCTTAGTTCTCGAACGTTTTGGCTCCCGAATGCTGCAAACCTGGAAGTGACTGCTACGGTTTGTGAACTATTTTTGGAAGCCGAATGTCCGATGGGCCTTCCGCGGCTTCCAATTGGCTGCAGGAGCTTCCTGCAGCCAATCAGAAGCTGCACTTTGGTTTCCAAACGTTCTGGAAGTCGAACAGACTTCTGGAACGGATTCCATTTGACTTCCGAGGTACGAATGTACAGTGGTACCTCAGGTTACATACGCTTCAGGTTACAGACTCCACTAACCCAAAAATAGTGCTTCAGGTTAAGAACTTTGATTCAGGATGAGAACAGAAATCGTGCTCCGGAGGCGTGGCAGCAGCGGGAGGCCCCATTAGCTAAAGTGGTGCTTCAGGTTAAGAACAGTTTCAGGTTAAGAATGGACGTTCGGAATGAATTAAGTACTTAACCCGAGGTACCACTGTACATAAATTGAGAAAAAGTGACAACGATAACTCTAATGGCTGAATCCTGTCGTGACCCTGAACCGATTCTCACGGTGATGTCAAAGTGTGGTGCCCAGAAATGAACCAGTTGGAGAAAAACACAGAGGGCTTTCCCTTACCTTCATGATCCCGTTCCAGTTGTCCCCCGTCGACACCCTGAAGAGGGTGAGGAAAGCCATGCCAAAGTTGTTGAAGGTCGCATGCCGGCTCAAGCCTTCGCAAGGGTTGTCCTCACTGCAATCTGCGAGGGAAAGGGAGTGAAGACAAAACTGAGCCAGAATGTGAGTGTTGGAACAAGTTTGCCGTTGCTCCATCCAGCTAAGCTAACTCTGTGTGGCGTTTTAAAGACAAAGGATGTACTGGCAAGAGCTCTCTCCTCATTGCAAACCTGGAAGAATGAGCTTGGCATTTAGGGCACCCTCTAGACTGCAGGACCAGCTTGCCTGAGCACCCCATCCCCTGTAACCCCCAAAGGCCAATTCTGACTTACTAGCTCTATAAAGTCCCAGCCACAGAGTTTGCTTCTCAGTCTAAGCACCTTGTCTCTGCAATGGGGACAGGGAGCATAGGAAGCTGTCCTATACTGAACCAGACCCACTGCTCCATCTAGCTCAACATTGTCTACACTGATTGGCAGTGGCTGTCCAGGGTTTCAGGCAGGGGACAATCTCCAGCCTTACCTGGAGATGCCAGGGAGTGAACTGGGGACCTTCTGCATGCAAAGCAGATGTCCTACCACTGAGCCACAACCTCATTAATAATAATAATAATTTATTATTTATACCCCGCCCATCTGGCTGGGTTTCCCCAGCCACTCTGGGTGGCTTCCATCAGAATATTAAAATACAATAGTAATAATAATAATAATAATAATAATAATAAATTTTATTTATATCCCACCCTCCCCAGCCGAAGCCGGGCTCAGGGCGGCTAACAACAATCAAATAATCCAACATTCTAAAAACATTTCATTATAAAAATTAATTAAAATCAAATTGATGGCAACCGTTAAGCAAAATTCTGTGCAGATTGCCAGAGGAGGGAGTCAGACTGTTAAGCATTAAAAGCTTCCCTAAACAGGGCTGCCTTCAGATGTTTTCTGAAAGTCTGGTATTTGTTTTTCTCTTTGACATCTGGTGGGTGGGCGTTCCACAGGGCGGGCACCACTACCAAGAAGGCCCTCTGCCTGGTTCCCTGTAACTTGGCTTCTCGCAGGGAGGGAACCGCCAGAAGGCCCTCAGAGCTGGACCTCAGTGAATGATGGGAGTGGAGACGCTCCTTCAGGTATACTGGACCAAGGCCGTTTAGGGCTTTAAAGGTCAGCACCAACGCTTTGAATTGTGCTCGGAAATGTACTGGGAGCCAGTGCAGGTCTTTCAAGACCGGTGTTATGTGGTCTCGGTGGCCGATCCCAGTCACCAGTCTAGCTACCGCATTCTGGATTAGTTGCAGTTTCTGGGTCACCTTCAAAGGTAGCCCCATGTACAGTGGATTGCAGTAGTCCAAGCAGGAGATAACCAGAGCATGCACCACTCTGGCGAGACAGTCTGCAGGCAGGTAGGGTTTCAGCCCGTGTACCAAAGGAGCTGGTAAACAGTTGCCCTGGACACAGAATTGACCTGCGCCTCCATGGACAGCTGTGAGCCCAAAATGACTCCTAGGCTGCGCACCTGGTCCTTCAGGGGCACAGTTGCCCCATTCCCTTAGGTTCCTGCTCTCTTGCTGCCAAATCTCCTGCTATCTTTCCCTGCTTCCTGCCTTGGAGCCCAAGACCCCTATTTGTTTTTTAAAAATCATTTTATTTATTCAAATGACAACAGGGACTTCAACAACACACAAGAAAACAAAAACAAAAAACCCCAATGAAACAAAATAAATCTAAGCACAGTGCACTTTCATTCACATTCCTTGAAAAAAAGGGTATTTGTCAGACTCCACCTCCCATCAGCCCCAAGCAGCACAGCCAATGGCCAGGGATGGTGGGAGTTGTGGTCCAGCAATATCTAGAGAGCCACAGGTTCCCCATCCTTGCTTTAGATCAGCTAATTTCTGCCTTGGGTCCCCAGATGTTGTTGGACTACAACTCCCATTATCCTTGACCACTGGTCCTGCTAGCTAGGGATGATGGGTGTTGTAGTCCAACAAAATCAGGGGACCCAAGGTTGAGCAAAACTACTCTAGACAGTCAGATTGCCACATCTACATGGTCAGCAAGAGCAAAATAGGGAAAATGGGAGCGAGGGAGGGAGAGAGAGAGAGAGGGAGAGGAAGAGATAGGGAAGGAAGGGGAAATAACTCACCTAACTTTCCAAACAACTCCACTCCCAGGGCAGCATAGATGAAAAAGAGGAGCATAAAGAGTAGGCCGAGGTTCCCTACCTGGAAGAGAAGACAGTTAAAGAAGGGTCAGGCAAGTGGGGTGTGTGTGTGTGCAAGTAGAGAGGAACCATTGCATATCAAAGGCCAGTCTTTCTGGTGTTTCTGTCTCTTGGTTACACTGAACTTTCTGCTCCCGCACACAGTAGTTATGAGGAAAGGAAACTCTCTTTCCAAACCAGACTGCAGCGTCTGCATGCAGTCAACCTGTTAAGTTGTGGGTGAGCATATCAGACAACACAGCGATTCTTCAAACAGCTCTTGTTTATTCACAGGCCAGAACAGAACTGAACTCAAGGGTTCAGCCAGCCTGCTTATATAGAGCTCCACTAGAACGCAACAGTAACCATTTTCTGTAACTATCCAATCACTGAACGTCACTTTCAATCCCTTATTTGCATATGTGGACCTGAGTGAAAACTACCTCCAGTATCCCCCCGCTGGCCCAGGGTGAGAACTTCAGTACATAACACAACCTCTCCTCCACCCTTTTCATGCCCTTTCTGGTTCTGGGAGACAAGCGGGGAGGGGAACTTGTCGCAGCAGGAGGGGGAGACACTTGTGACTCTTCATCAGCCTGACTCATCTCTGCCTCTTGCCCTCTTTCCTCTCCTGCTTCTGCCTCTGATTCTGGACTTCTCTCTGCCACAGACTCTCCCAGCTCACTAAGTCCTGTTACCTCTCCAGCTTCCGACACTTTCTGCTCTCAGTCTGCCCCGTTTTCCCTCTGACCACTCATTGTTTTCCCACCACCACTCCCCGGGCTCTGAGCCTTCTTCCATCGGTGTTTCCCCAGCCACCACTCCTCTACGTCCAACCAGTCCATGACATCCTGGCACTTTTTACACCCTCCTTGCAAAGGATTCCAGTTGCATGGGATCGACTGCTCCCATGTGGGTCCCTACTGCAGATGTGAGACCGTAACATGTCAAAGCAGCTCCCAGGTTGCTGGACGCATGTGCAAAAGGGGCCCCTTGCTGCCAGAATCAGGCCTACAGTGGGGAAAATAATCCCCAAGTCGGCTCCTGTTCTGCCCGCCATCTGATGCGGCTCTGGAAAATTATGCAAGTGGGTATTATCCTATCACAAATAATCACCATCCCTTGCTCCTCTGCCTTCTGGCTCATTTCAGAAAGCCACAAATGGCTGGCTTCCCACTGGGAACCATCAACTGAAGAGATGGGCGGAGAGCTGGCTTGAAAATATGACTCTTTAGCAGTGGCACATGGCACATAAGGGGGGTGGAATGATTTTCTTCCTGACTCCGAGTATGCAAAGTCAGGGTGAAATTTGCCTTGGGCACAACTATGTGCATTCTGAGCTTGAGGGAATAAAAAAAAAGAATCAAAATTCAATCCTGAGAAAGTCTGCACCCAGCTTAAATGACGCAAAGTACACATACCATCTGATTTGCATATATTAAGCTGCAGTGGTGGTCAGGGCAGGTGGGATAATATATGCTCCACCCTCGTTTGCAAACTAGGGATGGGTGAACTCCACACCAGGGTCCCTGGAAACAGATGCAGCTTAGCAACATTCCAGCAGCTAGCCAGGAAGAGAGGCGTCCAGTGAGACCTTCACATGAAGCTGTTCCTAAAAGCACAGCTCTTATAATAGCATGACTCCTCATTGGTTTAAATGTCTCTCGCCAAGTACTTGCAAGAATTCGAGGACACATTTCAGTCAGTTTTTTGGGGGCAGGGGAAAGACATTTAGAGAGATTTTTTTTTTTAAGAAATTGGGTCCTCCCTTAAAGAGGGCATGTATTGTGGTGAGATCTGGAAACCAACACCCTATTTTGTGGATGGGTACGATTGGTCAGCCACAACACCCAGTTGGTAGGTCCCTCGAAGCTGGGTGCAATCTGGCCAATGGGACGCAGTCCAAATTGTTCGAGGGACCTATTTATGCCCATGCACGTAGAATCATAGAATCATAGAGTTGGAAGAGACCACAAGGGCCATCGAGTCCAACCCCCTGCCAAGCAGGAAACACCATCAAAGCACTCCTGACATATGGTTGTCAAGCCTCTGCTTAAAGACCTCCAAAGAAGGAGACTCCACCACACTCCTTGGCAGCAAATTCCACTGTCGAACAGCTCTTACTGTCAGGAAGTTCTTCCTAATGTTTAGGTGGAATCTTCTTTCTTGTAGTTTGGATCCATTGCTCTGTGTCCGCTTCTCTGGAGCAGCAGAAAACAACCTTTCTCCCTCCTCTATGTGACATCCTTTTATATATTTGAACATGGCTATCATATCACCCCTTAACCTCCTCTTCTCCAGGCTAAACATGCCCAGCTCCCTTAGCCGTTCCTCATAAGGCATCGTTTCCAGGCCTTTGACCATTTTGGTTGCCCTCCTCTGGACACGTGACCCAGAGCTTCCTCTTTCGGTGTGTGCATTCAGAAAACCCGCCCACCTCTCCCTATTTTTAGGGTTTCGCGCTTGACCTTGCTATGCCGTCGTGTGTTGTCTGTCGTTGGGACAGGGGCGCGGCAGGAATTTTCCCCACTTGGCTGATTGGCTGGTGCCATTTGGGTTTTGCCTGCCACGTAGCAAGTTATCACAACTTGTAAGGTTGCGGATAGGCTCTGGTTCAGGTGATAGGGATGGGAGAATGCTCTCGCCATCCCTATGTGAAGGGTATTCCATTAAAGGAATCCAGGGACTCGATGGTTTGGTCAACCCCTGAGAGGGGGTTGTGCCCGTGCCTGAGTCCAGGGGGACATTTGGGTGGCGGAGTTAGCCTGTTCCCAGCTTTCCGCTTAGCCAGGTGTTCACCCTTGGCTGACCTATGCTGGTGCCCTGGGTCAGCGCTACCTGCATGGCAGGGAGCTAGTCGAACCAGAGCCTATGCAACCAGTCACTTTCTGTAATCAATAAAGTTGTGGACTAAATTCTGCCAAAAACCAAAACCAAAATTTGAGTCAAATGTGAATTTATTTAGGGGGGAGGTTTCCGGGTCTGAACATGCAAAAAACCTGAGAGTAATGCTGTCTCTTTTTATCAGTGCATTATTCATATTCTAAATCTAAACCCCACCACTTATCTGCATCCAGCCAGTCTATGACAATGACCAAAGGGTTCTGGGTCAGCATTTTTACACAATAGTGGCATTTAAACCCATTGTTATGGAATCGCTGCAGAACCTTCCAGTTCTGTTCTCATGGAAGTTCCTGGTCTACAGTTTTAGAAAATGCTGTTCAGGTGGTCCCCCCCTTTTTTGCGGGGGGGAAAGACCCCACAAACCCACATTCCCAGAGAAAACAACAACCCAATTCATTCTGGTGCTGGCAGGCTTACCTGCGGGAGGGCTTGGACCACTGTGTCCAGCAGTGCCCGCATCCCTGTGGCCATTTTGAGCAGCTTCAGTAC